ACAAGCTCCATCAAAGTTAATGAATATATTCTTAACGAAACTTATAATTGATTTATTACAGATTTTTTAAAATCTTAAGAATTAGATTATACTATCGTAATGAATATTGGAATGATTAATTTTGTATTGGGTCAAGTTATAATATTGACATTATTTAAAATAATTTAAAATCATGATAGAGATCATCAAGATTGGATGTTGTGATAATAAGTGAAGTAATCCATGTGCTTACTGTTCGTTAAGTATTGGTAGTTTAAGATGATTTAGATAATGCTAAAGACGATCAAAATGGATTTTAGATGAAAAATTAATATGTTTTCTTCGTATTTGAGTTTAATTTGGCGGTAAATGAAAGTGATTTAAGTAAAGAATAAATAAATCAAAATTAAATAATGCCATTGTTAACAAATTATTAAGTTAACTCATATGTGGAATTGATACTGAATCCGCCCCTATGCTAAAGTTGTTTTTAACTTCATTTGCGGTAGCAAGTGATTTATTTCCAAAATAGTAGTATCGACTGAATGTACTAGAATTACAAGAAAGAATTTAATTTATTGTGATTATGGAGGCTTGATATGTGTCATTGCTTTTAATAGTGCAATTAAAAGCTCATTTTACCTGATGACCATAAAAAAATGCAATAAAAATCATGTTGTTCGGTATCATTATTCTGATTCAGTAAATTACTTTAAGTTTGGATAATCTGGTTCGTTCATTTACTTTGACCCTGAGTCTGGATATGTCCAATTCTATTTATTACCATTAATTATTGCCTTAATTGCAAATATAAATTGACCAATGTTCATCTCTTATTAGCATTCATAGCGTAGTATACGCGTACCTATAAATATTCTAAACAGCGTCAGCATAATACTCCATTAGCGATCTAATCAATCAAATTTTGTTTCCGTAAGTAACCTATTATGGGATTTACATTCTTGCATGCTGTTCAGTCATGAACAAGTGAGGAATTTAAATTTTATAATGAAAAAAAACTAAAAAAAGCAATCTAAAGTTTAAATTAATAGCTTAAATCTAATACTCGATTATACACGAACTTGTGATAATCCATTGATAAACGATGAGACTAGTTCTTTTAAAGACGATATAGAATATGGAAGAATAAATAGTAAAGAATTGAAATAGCTATGCAATTCTGTATATGAAGATAGAAATACAAATTTTAGAGATTCGTAGAAGTACTATGCATTTCTAAAGCAGTCTATAGAAGATAGGTTAAGTTATAAACTTTTAAACAGTAAGGATAAATTAATCATTTTTTATAGTAATATTAATTAAATCAGTTGAAATAGTTATATATGTATCTTGCCAAATATCTAAAGTAGAGATTATAATCTCACTTATATAGTTGCTTAATAAAGGCAATTGATGTGATAGATTACGAATTTCTTATACTATTCAAGAACTGTTGTATTAGCTAATCTTATCTAATATTCAAGCTAGATTAAAAGCGTACATAGACAAATCTGCAGTTGCTCTCAAGCTAACTTAGTGTGATAATGATCATTTGTTTAGTGTACTACTTTTTATAGGAAGCAGATGATATTAAAATAAATTGTTTGATATTTGAATATTTCATCGATTTTATGTTATCAGTAGTACGTTGCTATTCGTCAAATTGATTTCGATTAAAATAGCAGGTAATCAATAAAAATAAGTTCTATTTAACAATCTTATTGATCAGAAAATGAGTAAACTGGATATCAACACAATCAATTTATATTACCCTATTTTATCGATTGTGAAGATGTTTATGTCAGATTTTAATCTCATCCTAATTTCATAATTACTTCGTATAGTAATGTACAGAAGTCGCTTCGGTAACATACACGTAGTAAAATTTTTATAAAAGTAAAACAGAATGACAGGTAATGCTTCTATTCTAATCATATTTTACTCTAGATACCATTGCCTTTCATGATTATCTAACGAATTTACCTTCATTAGTCAATATCTTACGCTATTGTTGATAATGGGTTTGCAGTAAAATCGGCGTAACGAGAAATATATAAGGCTCTTTTGCAGTAAAATAATCATCATAGAAGGAAATAGCGTATATGATGTATATGTAGTTAAATGAAAATCGTAAGATGTATCCAACGCTCTAGTCTACCGTAAAATTGATGATCTAACGAATTATAGTAGCTGTGAAGAAAACCAATCATTATGATGGAGGGTTTAATGATTTAGCGGATGCAGATTTAATAGCTATTTAGAGATTGGTACTAGTTCGTTGAGTAAGAAAATAGATTCTTTATTATAGACTACATGTGTGAGGCAGTTGCCGTAGTGCAGCTTGTAAGCTGTTGTGAAGTAATGTAATTATCACTACGACTACCCATATTGCAGCTCAATCTGAGGTAGAAGTTATTAGTACGCGTATTTATGACGTTAGAGATAGAGAACATGCAGAGAACAAGATTATTATTTACAACATATGCCGTAGTAGACTATATGATAGCAAATGATGTTAGAAAAATAGTAAAGGCTGCAAGTGCTATAAATAACTAAACACGACAAGTTAGATTTGAATATAGTGTAATAAGAACACAAAGGTATCCATATTTGAAAACAATATAATATACCTCTATATCACAGCTCTATTTAAGAAATATGTAAGTTATAGTACAGCCTAGATACACTACAACAGGTACAATTCGTTTTAGTCTATTCGATTATGACATAAGTAAGTAAGTGAATATCATTTCTGCCATGTTTGTAAATATCACTGTCCTCTTGTAGTAAAGCAAACATAACAAAATCTAATAGAAACAATAAGCCCTAAAATAGTAATATAATTAGCATGTGGAGTTTCCATTGCGTATACAACTTGCATCTAGTCGTATAGCTAATAAAATACAATGCCTATACTGAAATTGGGGTTTGTCATATGTTCAGTTAGAGTTTATGATTTCAGCAAGAAATGTCTCTTTTTATATTCTAAATCTTACCGGTTTGAGTGATGTAGCATCACTCTGATATCGGTAAATGGTACTTAATATGTAGTGATTATAGCATTTATCTATTGAAATGTCACTATTAGTAATTGGATTCCCTGTATTGTAATATTTATATAATTGAGATGGATACTATCGATCGAAGACATTACTTAATTGATCTTAAGGGTACGCCTAAGAATTTTATGGCATGCAATAGAATAATCACATAATAAGCTCAATCACTGAAAGATCATGCATAATTTAAATATTTTAGGGCATTTGAATGGAATTATTTTAATTAATTAGTTAATTGATTGTACATAATGATAAACTAATATCAATGATGTTTATCTCATTTAATTGTTTTTAACCAAAAAATTTAATTAGATTAGATGTCGTTATTTACTTATCATTAAATGATTAGCTATGATAACGATTGCAATTTAAAGATACGGCCATCAGTAACAGCTATTATACCTAATCAGTTATTGGGTAAATCGTTGAGTGATTGCACTTGAATAATTTTATTTAGTACTGTAGTTTTGTTTCCTTTCATAATGTCAGTTCCAATATTAAAACTAGATTAAAATGTTGTAGGCATGTTATAAGTTGAGATATATTTTGATTACCTGATATTTAAAATAGATATAAGCTGCCTTTAGGATCAGTTTAACATACTAGATTAAAATTTTACTGTAACTTACAAGATTGAATTTGCTCAAAAGTCTCGACGTATTAAAAAATTTACCTGCTATAACTTTAAGTTTGTGCTGCGGCAAGATGTCGGTATTTTTCAATCTTTTGGATAAAGACTACCCTACAAATTTGAAACAACTTAACTTTACACTATCCTATGTACAGTTTTTGATGGTTAGTAGGTCTACTGCAATACATTTATTCTCCATGCTTTAGTAATCTTGTGCGCTAGTCTATTACCATGTGTTTAAATTAATGACCGCACAGTTATATAACGATCAAATGAACGAGTCCTTTCCCTGTTTATTTTACATGTAACAGGAGTTTCTATTTTAGTTTTCTTAACAAGTACTTGTAATCTTGCCATAAACAGAAATCTGACTGTGTCCTATAAGTATAAATTAACAATTTAAATAAGCCTCGGTTAGTACTGTTAGAGATAGTTCTTCGTTGTTCCAGTTTCAATATCTTTAATGTGATAGTAATCCCCTTGATACCTCTTCCTATCTCAATTTCTAATATCACTATTTCATTTTACTTTGGCGCCTGCGATAAAAGTCTATTCCATTATTAGCGATGGCAATTTGTATCAATTTATGTTCTGATTCGTTTCAGAAAGTATTCTGAAATTAGAAAATTAAATATTTTCTTTTTTCGACAACTTGTTTATTACTGTGATCCATAGCTGTGGGCTAGACTTATTCAAATAGTATAAGGATAGATTGATCACAACTGACGTAAAATTAACTTGCATTAGCTAATTATTTTTGTTAGTCCTAATCAGTTTATGATCGAATAAATGAAGTATAAATAGAATAATAACCATGATGATGATGGTGATGATAGCAATTAATACTCATTTTAATTCTGTCTGTCTTATAAAAATCTAATAGACGACCCGTAAGTAAGGATATCATCCATGATGAAAGTTTTACTCGTTGCCTTAGCAGTGATTGCTGTTGCTCATGCAGCCGTTATTGAGCGGAGTAAGTTCTACGTATTTATTTGGTATTAAGTTCTACGAGTAATTAAATTAATCTTGGGCATCCGTTTTTTGTTGATCATCAAAGAAATTAGTCATCCTTATTGGTATTCTATCATAATCATCATGGAGATGATGATGTTCAATAACTCATTATCGGCAGCGTCTGTAAAAATCGTTCAATTAATATTAGGAAAAAAATCGACCAATATGCGATGGATTCGCGCCGAAGATTATGATAGAATCGTGGGAGGATCTACTACTGATGCTCACGAATTTCCCTATCAGGTCTCGCTAGAATATAAATCGGGGGTTCTTGGTATCATATTTGCGGTGGAAGTATAATTGGCAACCGATAGGTGATTACTGCTGCTCATTGTGTTCATAAAACTGCTAAGAAAAAGCTGAGAGTTAACGTTGGCGATCATAATATCGAAGATGCTGAGGCCCAAATCATTGATTTACGCTCACTGTAAGATAAGCTGATAGACTGACTTTACATTAGCAAAGAGAAATCTATAATGATTTATTTCTATTACTCTAATTGCAAATCGTAATTCTATAGTTCTATAGTTTCCTTTTGATTATAATTAATTACTCCTCGTATTATTTACGTTATCTATATTTGAATTGAATTCCGTTAATTGGTATTTTAGGCATGTTCATTCTGGTTACAGTCCTTCTACTCTTGCTAATGATATTGCTTTACTCAAGCTGAAATCATCAGCTACTGCCAAGCCCCATACCTCTACTATTCAATGTGCTAGTGCAGATACAAAATTAATCGCTGGTGAGGATGTTCTCATAACTGGATGGGGTGCACTTGCAGAAGGAGGCTCACACCCTGATAAACTACAAAAAGTAAAATTGCAACTTGTCAGCGATACTGATTGCGATGCTGAACATGGCAGTGAATTTATGCCCAAGGAAATATTTTGTGCTAGATATAAACCAGGCGGTAAAGACTCTTGCCAAGGCGATAGTGATGGCCCAGTTGTTTATAAAGGCGATTTAATCGGTCTTGTTAGCTGGGGTTACGGTAAGAATGACATGATAACAACCTTAATATAGCACTTTAACCGTACAGAAATTATCTATAGTATAAATAACCAATAATAATTTTGGTTTTGCTATTAATCATGTGCCAGTACTTCAAATCTATTATTAATCTAAATAGAATAAATTAGAGGATGTTTGAATAAGATTAAGCTTTAAATTAAGCCTATATTAAAAATCAATCGTAGAACTATATAGCTGTTCAATGATACCTACACTTGCATAGTGTACGTTAAAATGGAATTAATTGTTCTATTTCATGTCCTAGGTTGTGCTTGCCCTGACATACCTGGAGTTTATACGCGTGTCAGCAACTATGAATCTTGGATTGCTAAAACCATGGGATAAATTATCTGATTTTGTATTGGCTTTATTGCTATGACAATATCATAATTGCATCCATAGTCCGGCTATATTATAGCCAAGGAAACGATAACAACTTCGAAAAGTAGAAAGTAACAAATGATGTCGAATCTTTCTCCCTTAGTTGCACAATTATTAGTCTTGAATTTTTACTAGAGATTAGGACGTAATGACTAATGGATTGATCGAAGTTTTCATTTGTTCATCTTTATGATAGCATGTACTGTATTTGTATATTAATTTTTAGAAGGCTAATAATGTAGTAAATTGCTCAATTTATCAATACTAGATTGAGAGTATCATGATGAAAATGAAGAATGGCAAATTCATTTCATTAGCAATTGCTATTAGAGCTAGCTTTTATTCAGAGTAAAATAAATTTTAAAATTGGCATGGATCAGAAAATGTTTTTTTATAGATATTAGTATGAACACTATTAAGACATAGTATCTTGGTGGCATAGATTGTCAGTCATCAAGTTTATAATAATTTTAATCCACATCTTACAAATCGAACATATATTCAATTGCATATTGAAATAGTTTACTAAGCATTAGCAATTTCATAAGAGTAGACCAAGCCAATAAGCAAGCAGTTGTAATAATATCTTAACTGTTCTTGCACTCCGGAATCTCGTACTTAATTCTCTCAAACAGTGCTAACTTAATACACTATCGTATTATTAGAAAAATTGATATGAATTACATTTTTTCTTTAAATTTATATCGTTAGAGACCAGATGTTTTAAGATAGACTCGGAATGAAAAATGATAAGTTTGTTTATGCTACTGTATTGATATCCATAGTCTTAATAGATCGATGTTAACTCGTGTCAAAATATCTTTTAAGCTAGATATCACTGTATATCTCACCCAAGTTATTTCATCGAGTTAAGAATACATCAGCTAATGAAGAGTATAGAAGATTGTAATAGAGTCAGCACATCGTACCACTTGCCATTACCATAATAGTTCAAAAGTTATTTGTTAACTTCAATAAAGTGGTTATGAATAAACTTGAGTTGCTAGTCAGAAATTTCAATATGATCATTACTGCTGGTACGTAATCTCTCATTTGGCCGATGACTTTTATTAGTGTTACCACAGTTGATACATGATGGGTATTAAGTTACCGATATTATTTTTAGATAGACATACGAAGTACAGTAGAAGTAAGTGGTAAAAGTAGAATAAAGATGCGACCGTAAAAGGTGCATCTGCAATAAATTTGTAAATAATTTTACAGTTGCAAGTAATAACTTATTGAATCTCTTAAATGCGTAGCTCAAATAAGTCACGTAATGTTATTAATAAGGGCAATTATGTAGGCGTGTTGTAATTCTAGTACTAGCTCGCGTAGATTTAGATAACTGTAAGTGTCTCAAAATAGCTTTTATGATCGGGGTTGAACTAGACTATCTACTCTAATTTATCACCGACTAAGTCCGGGATTTTCTCTAATCGTAACACGCTGAACCTTTAAATTGATTAAAGATAGAATTGGTACAGGAAATAAATTGTGACATAGACCTTGATTTACACTCAGTATATATTTACTTATTTTGCAAGTAGCACTAATAAACCGCTAGCAACTTTGTCAAACTTTATATTTGCTCTTGTGGGAAATTTATAAATTGAACATATTTCATTTTGCTAAATTGTTTGAGTAACAATAAACAGACACGCACAGACAGGCTATAAAAGTAAAATAGGTCTGATATATAGGCTTGTTGCAAAGAAATGGAAAATTTCTAGCTTTTCAATTTACGCCACAGCTTCATATATATTTTTCTAAATATTCTGTTGTTATACAAAAGATATCGGATGAGCCTTCCTGCAATGATTAGAATAAGACTACCGAAATACTTTGATGCAACCTTAATCCTTTGATTCCTATTCCTTTTATAATTTGTTGTTGATTACAATAAGAGATTCTAGAATCGTATCACGCATCTCAATGTCTATCATGAATAAATAATATTGTAATAAAGGAAGCCGTTCTTTCATGTTGATGGTTACTAAATTTATTCACAGAAATGTTCTACATCAGTAAATTGTCGAAGTTGGTAAAATTTTATCGCATTGTATAATTAGTACACTTCGAGAGCAAATCTTATTTCTTGATACAAATAATAGCAGACTAATACGGATCACTAAAAATGTAGCTATAATAATTTTATCATCGTGTTACCATAGAATTTATCCAGATAATCATTAGTAAAGTTTACACTTTCATATCTATAAAGACGAATACAAATATCATTAATTCCTACATTTATAATCTAAAGTTTAAATTAATAGCTTAAATCTAATAATTGATCATACTTGAACTTGTGATAATCCTTTGAATAATGATGAGGCTAGTTCTTTAAAGACGATATAGAATATGAAAAAAAAAATAGCAAAGAACTGAAATAGATAAGCAATTCTATATATGAGGATGAAAATACATATTTTAGAGATGCGCTGAAGTACTATGTATTTCTAAAGCAATCTATAGAAGATGGATTAAGTTATAAGCTATAAAACAGTAAGGATAAATTAATTAAATCAATTGAAGTAGTTATACAAGTATCTTGCCAAATATCTGAAGTAGAGATAATAATCTCACGTATATGGTCGTTTGATAAAAGCTATTCACGTGATGGATTACGAAATTCTTATACTTTTCAAAAACTATTTTATTAGCTAATCATACCTAATATTCAAATTGGATCGAAGGTGTACATAGACAAATCTGCAGTTGCTCTCTAGCTAACTTAGTGTGACAATGTTACCGTCATTATGAAAAATCCGTGATTTTACAAAATACCTCATATCAACTAAAAAGTTACGAGATTGATGATAGTCACTACGGTATATAGTAGCTGTGATGAATAATAATTTTCTCGTAAATAGGATTATGGTCTGTTATTATGAGTATTATATTACAAGACCAAATATAAGCAAAGTCCTACGTCGTTCTGGGCCTTATTACTTACCGGTAATAATAGCAGCAGTATATATAGTTCCTGGTGTTGGGGGCCTAGCAATCAAAACCATCTATGACAGGAAGCTCAAACTATCTCACATCTTATAAGGAATGATAAATCAACTATCAGTAGTTAATCAGTATTTTAGTTTTTATAAATAATATCATAGGTTCGAATGTGGACCTTAGATATTCAGGCTGCACATCCATATTTTTGGATAAACTAGCTTTCTTGATCAATCTTTAAACCGGTGAAACATTAAATATTTCACTTTTTATCACATAAGCTTTAAAGCTTTTACACTCGTATATCACATATTTTTTCTCGCTTTGAAGTCATTAGAGAAAGGAAGTACCAATATTAAGTTAAGGAGATTATCATACAAATTTCATTGCTTGTTCTTAAAAACATAAATTTGATGTTCCATAGTTCACAATTGAACCGTTTCTAATGTTAGCATTTTTTCTGACTGATATAGCTGTTAAATCGGTCTAAAGTAAATATTTGATTGATCATAAGGTAATTTTGTTATTTTCAAAAAAGTAATCAAACTGCTTCTTAATGCAGTTTTGTTTATCTAATTCCAACGAATTACCGAATGGGTCGTTACTTTTAAAGTCATTGCCATGCCCATGAACTGTACTGCCCTTGGCAACTAAGGCCTTAATTGATTACTTGATGTTAGAGTTTGACTAAACTTGAACTATTTAATTATGGAATAAATCATTGATTGATTGTCAACAAACATGATGAAATGTGCAATTTATTTTTCCCATTTAACTAATTAACTCCAATTAACAATAACGCTAATTGGATTAGATTTGAATGTTTGCACTTCACTAAGTAACTTAATGGACACCAATTGCTATAAAAACAAGCGACTTTCAGCGATAATCATCACATCTAACCAGTTTTAAGGTATGTTGGATAGTTAAACTGAGGAATCAACAGTAAACTATCGCAGCCTAATTTATCTAATTTGGATTAGAATAAATCTATTCTATCGGTAATTCAGTTGTTATCATAAATTAGTGATAGCTCCATAACTTTGATAGACTACAATATTTTTGCACCATTCTGAGTTAGTATTATGTGTAGTGTTGGTTTTGTTACCTAATGAGGATATGTTGTTGCGGTAGTCGTTTATTTTATTTATAAAATTTTCGATTGATAAATTTTTATTTCATCATCATTTACAATTCATTATTACACTTAATCTTTTAATTTCATGTATTGTATTGTTCCTGTAACTCAGTTCTACGTCCAAGTATAAAAAAATTACTAAAGTTTTTTATCTATTACTTTAGTTTAAGTATTTCTAGACATCGGAAACTATCCATAAATGCCAATTTAAATGTATTATAGTGAAGTTATATTTTAAGTTTTTTCTATAAATAGTATGAAATTGAAGCATGTTTATCATCTTTACGTTATCTATTCTTTTACTCTAGTTTGACCACAAGGATATGGAATACTATTTCCCACGTTCCTTAGCTATCAAATATTTTAAGCTATTAGTGGACAGTTAGGGTTATCGCTAATCTTTGACAAAGTAGATCACATGATTTTATCTTCTTAGACATATCATTTTATGCATTTTAAATCGTTGATCCATAGATATATGAGATTTTCTTACCTGCTTCCTTGAAGAATTTTAGTTTATTATCGCAACCAACACTTTTTACCTTACCGAAAATAGTTGATACTACCATATACCTGCAAAGTAAAAGCAAAATTTGACTCAAACCCAGACTAATGCTGTCTATCTAGTATTAATCCTTTATTGCTGTGGTCTCAATATTTTTTACGCGTATGACTCAAATTTTTAATAATAATCTTTTCCTATCTAGATTAATTGACAGCTTTATTTTTAGTACTCTGACAGATATTATGAGATGACTGCGCTAAGAATTCATTTTGTGAATTCTTTAAATATGTATTTCGTGGTTGAAAAAATTGATACATCATTTTTTCTGCATCTATTGCATCAATAATGTGATCCAAAATCGAAAATGATATTTATTCAAATTCAATAGGAAGGAATGAATGACAAATAGCGTCAAGTAGACACAGATAGAATAATTACGATGATAATATTTATTGCATGTTCTAACACTATTTTTATTCACTGTGATAGATAACTCGTTTGTGAAGATAAAATCCAAGATGAAAGTTTTGCTCATTGCATTAGCGGTCCTAGCCGTTGCCAATGCGGCTATTATTGATGCCCGTTAGTTTGTATTTCTTTAAGATCATTTTGTAATTAAAATCAAATTTAAATTTTCTTTTTACTTTTCCATAATTATAGTACTTGATATTATTGTTGACATTCTTTAATGCTTCTATTTAAATGAGGATAATAAATCACTTGTATCGATGATTAATTCTTTAACTCAAAACTAGGAAATAAAAAAGTCAGTATGCGAGTGATGCTCGCTGACGACTATAACAGGATTGTCGGTGGAAGTGAGGCTAGCAAACATGAATTTCCTTACCAGATCTCACTTGAGCAAAAATATGGCAAAAGTTGGTATCACATTTGTGGTGGAAGTATAATTGACAGCAAATGGGTTCTTACAGCTGCTCATTGTGTTGAGGGTGCTAAAGCACGAAAATTGAGAGTCAATGTTGGCGATCATAGTATTGAAGATGCTACTGAACAGATTATTTCTTTAAGAAGATCGTAAGCAAGCCAATAAACTTGATATTTACTAATTGAATTATAACTTAATAACTAATTCACTTCTAAGGCATGATCCTTATTCTCGCCATATATAATAGAACATTATATCATCTTGATTAAATTTGTTCTCCAATTTATTAATATTTGCGCATAAATAACTTATAATTCCGTTAGAATTGTCCATTCTGCCTACGATTCTAATAGCCTCGTCAATGATATTGCCTTGCTCGAGTTGTCTGAATCAGCTACAGCCAAGAGCAATACCGCTACAATTCCTTGTGCTTCAAAAGCTACAACCATGTCTGATGGAGATACTGTCACTGTAACTGGTTGGGGTACACTTTCATCTGGTGGTTCATCTCCCGATACATTGCATAAAGTAAATGTGAATTATTTTGATGATTCCAAATGCTTGAGTGCATACGGCAGTGAATTCTCTGCTAAGGAAATGTTTTGCGCTGGAGTAAACGGAGGTGGTAAAGATTCTTGCCAAGGCGATAGTGGCGGTCCAGCCGCTTCTGGCGGAAGATTAGTTGGTGTTGTCAGCTGGGGCTACGGTAAGAATATTGTTCTAACATCGATTGCCAACATATCAGTATATGCAAGCTAGAATAGCATTAGTGGTGTAAGCTAATATTCAAGCATCGATAATAGATAAAATGTATACGAAGAACTTAAATAATAGCAACTATATATAATATTGAAATTTAGACACACTAAGGATAGAAAACTGATCTTATTATTGTAGTACCTTGGTTGTAAGTTGATAACTTTAGTAATATGCAGCAATAACATTCAGTTTCTAATAGTTAATAATGTACCAGAGCTAAAATATTCCTTTACTTTTGCATTATTGACATTCCTTACCGTACTTATCGCACAGTTTATAATTTTAAAATTTAGCTTACAATATAGCTAGTTAATATACCAGTAGTACTAAGCATTCCAATATAAGAGAGTTTCGCCATATCCCGATTATAATAATAGGCAAGAAGTCGTTAAAATATGCTTGCTGGCGGAAAAAATTAGAGCATCGCGATACACTTATATTTATAAAAAGATGATATAAACGACATAAATTAACAATGGAATATCAAGTACTATAAATGAATAGTTACAAGAGCTAAAATATTCCTTCATTATATTAAAAGACGTGCATGCTAGTAACGTTTCAAATGTAGATGAAAGCAAAAAATCTCATCGGGGATGTTACCGTTCGTTAATCCTAGGAAAATGACAATACTTTGTAGAATTAACAATTTAATATGCAGATGACCTAAATAAACTGTGCCCTGAATTATACATATTGATGTCAATAACATGTCAAAATGTGAACAAGCTACAAAAATCAAGTTATTCTCCCTACTTCCCATTTCTGGATAAGAAGTATAGTTATACACTTGTATTTATACTGCTAAATATTTAAAATTTATCCAATATCAAATGATAACTGCTTAATATCGAATGATATTTCAAAAATGTAAATGAGCTAAAACATTGTAAATAGTGTTCATAAATTTGTTAGTATTGATAGCAAATCAAAGTTTTCATATTGCTATAGATTTTATCATGATAGTTTCATTAATTTTTAAACTGAATTGAGATAAATAGAATCTGATATAACAACATACTCGCAAGATCTAACATTGGCATAGAGTTATCAGAGTAGCAAATTGAGTTATATATAGAATAATTATATGTACCTAGTTGCAACGTGTTGTAGAATACCGAATTGAACCCATTTGTGCTATTTTATTCCGTAGGCTGTGCCGATGCACAATATCCTGGCGTTTATACGCGTGTCAGCAATTATCAGGATTGGATCGAGGGATATGCCGGCAAAATAATCAATTAATTTATTGCTATGGAAACTCTTACCTAGGCTTATATTCTTTTCTGTAGCAATAGAATACACATAAGTAACCTAGGATACAGACAATTAGATGTTATCTTGCGTGTACAGATAGGTCATCTTAAACCTAGGTTTACTCTAGAATTATACGTAGGTATAACAATTTACTTGGTAGGTTGAGATTCTTATAAATATTCCCTTGTGATAGCGTATACGTTTTTTCTTGCGTTGGTAGAATGTCTATCATCTCAAAGATTGCTTAGTTATCGTGTCATTAAAGGATTATTCATTAAATCGTTTGTTAATGATATCAAAGGCATATCATAATCAAATTTACAAGTTAATAAATTTTACATTTGGCATTTGATCAGAAAGTAGATTTATCATTTTTGTTGATAGTATAGGTAGTATTATCAAGACTACACTCTCGTATCAGTTCTTATCCGGATATTTTATCTAATTTAAGTTAATTTACTGAATTACTTTGTACATTAGCCAAATATAAGCAAGCTATGAAATAATGTCATATTAACATGCAGTAAGCAGTGCAGCTCTAATATATATCATAACCACTCCTACACTTTGGAATGATCTGTCGAATTTCCTCAAGTAAAGTCAAGATATTTCTATTTCATTATGAAGATAATTACATTACTTTTGTAGCACAAAAAATTTTCCAGTATCACTATAGAAAGCATGTTATAAGACAGACTTCTATTTAGGTATGATTAATATCGTTAAGCTTATATTTCTGATGGTGTAAATAGTCTTACTAAATGCGCGTGAATCTCTACCAAGGATCTCAAATGTTACCTGCCGAATTATATATTGTCAAGCCTATAGTATGAAAAAGGCTAGTTATTGAATTACTAGTAGAGATTAAGACAGTACTGATTGAATACGCGTTATAATTTGGGATTGCCCTGCTAGATTTATTTTAGATATGGCTAACGTTCCTAATTCTTCATACTGATTTCGATTTAATTAATCATGATCAGCATAAGTTATAGTACGATTACTTATTTCATGCACTTCTATTTACAGAAAATAGATAATAAAACGAATTGCTTAATTTTTTGAATGTTTGATCAAAGTTATGTTATAAGTAATACTTAGCTATTCATTTAATTGGTTTAATTATAATAATAAGTGTCTATTAATTATGTTATAAGTGTATTAATTGATATGATACTATCAATATTTATTTGCATAAACATAGCAATTTTATGTTTTAGAATGTGTAGTTTTCCTGGCACGAAGGTTTTGCTATGAGACTCCAACATATTTTATGCTAATCATATCATTGATGCTACAAAATATTTTAAATTTAGAAACCTAGATATCTGTGTGACTGTAGAGAAGGAATACATTCTATAGTTAGATATTTTTGCTAGAGAATTATTCTTATTCTGAAATACTTTATTGCAGTATCGAAATTTTAGCTATACATATATAAAATATTGCATAGTATTTCCGGTGATTGAAATCTGAACTGCTTATTAAGTTGAATGATAATTTAAAATCATTTCAACCACCATATTTAGATTAATTACTTTTATTTCTTTTAATCAAAACACATAAAGATAATTTTTTTAATAAAAATAGTGGATATTTGTTTCATTATTAAATATATTCCTTTAATGCTAAGGCTAAGTAAACTAGTTTGTTAATTATAACATTTTGCATAAGCTTAATCACTTATTGCTTTGTGATGTGAATAAGCTCAATTTTTTCCAGACACCTTCGAAATTCGATTGATAATATTTACAGCTAGAGATTGAGACATATTAAATAGGTATATCACATACGAAGAAAAATTCAAAAAGACCTACATAAAATATTTCAATTTTAGGCTATAACTCGTATCTATACTAGAGTAAATTTAACTTAGGTTGAGCTGTGAAAATCATTGTAAGAAATGATAAGGATAACCTAATCAATTCATTTATATTGTATTCAAACCTCCTCGTATTAATTTCATATTAATTAAGACAAGTAAAACTGATTCATCTGACCATTAGCTTCTTGACTAGACTTAATGTCTATATCTTCTATTGGATTGAAATGATTAGAAAAATCTTGTGATACCATTTCAATTAGAGACAACGGCGACATGACTCATTACTATTGAAAATGAACGATGCCTATACACTTTGTAATATTTAAATTTTTGGTCATGGTATTTATCTGTATATTTGATTCTAACGATATACTACTGCATGGCTAATGGCAGCTTTTCATATACAACGAAGTTTGTGATAAAAGAAATACTATTTATCATTTCTGTAAAGTGATGTATATGTACAGAAGATTGACCAATAGATTATTAGTGTAATGTTAACAATAAAGTTTGATGTTATCAATATGTAGCTACCCATCGATGGTTTCGTTTAGCCATTTGCCTCATCCTTAAAATGTTTGCATCAACTTCAGCATTAGCTTTCCTTTCCGATATACTCCTATGTAATTGTTTCTCACTTAATTTTAACGATTCTATATTGTCGTTAATCGTTACTAGCATATCAACTAGTTCTGTTGCTTTTCCATGAATTTGAAATTTCTGACCATTTATTGTGGTTGGAACAATCGATTGAAATTTGCCCGATACTGTATGCTGGGTCTATTAATAAAATTAAGGTTAGTATTTCATAACCCAAATGTGCACGATTAAATAACTAAGCTAATCTATTTAGCTCACCATTGGTATTCCGCATGCCCTATCGATAGCTTGTTGAGCTCTTTGTTGTCGCAATCTAGAATATCTAGTGGCACATCGCTGTAGTTCCACTTGTGCCTATCCATAAAATTAGTTTTGATCAATATTGATGACAATTACTACTGACAGTCTATCTAAGCTATAGATCAAACAATACATACGCGTACATGATAAAAATTTATTATTAATATAATTGAAAAAGAATCATCTTGATTTTGAGCAACATATTAGGAAGTTGATAAAAAAATATTGAAATATTTGTAGCATGGAACCATTTGTTGGCATTAAAAATTACTTGGCATTCTGCTACTAGTAGCTTAAGAACAAATTACCTTCGCTGACGATGCACTTTGCAAATCTTGTCGTAAGTTGGTATCAACAGCATTAAATGTTGCTTGTTGTATCCATTCCGTATTCTCAAGGGCACTTTTTGATTGCTGACGAAGTGATTTGGAAAATCTGCAAACTGCATTGACTCCTTCGATTAATTTACCGACGCTAATACTTGGCGATACTTCATGATTAATATCATCAGCAGTTTTAATGGCTTGGCTTTGACGGATATATTTTTCAACAACGGCAGTCTTTGAGGTGGCACTAACAATATGCTGTTGTGTTGATTTAATAGTCTTGCTACGTTGTTGGATAGCATCATGTAGGCTATTTCGAGTACGACCTAATTTTTGTAAATGTTCCAGTACAGCTTGAAGTTGCATTTCAAGCGATTGCTTGATTTTTAATAGTGTATTTCGTTCTTTACCAATCTGTTTATCGGCAATACCTAGTGTGGCCTTTTTAGTTGAATCGTATTGAAATAGTAATTGGTTATGATGAGTGAGAGATAGCGTAATTTTAGATAGACTTTTAAGATACCTCATAGTCAGCTTACGTGCATATTACAGTAATACTACAACATTAATCAAAGCTAATACGTAATAAAATTTCATTTCATTTTTAAACTTAACTATTCCATTAAACAGAACTTGTCTACGCGTCTCTTTAGAATATCTCGATTGCAAATAAACGGGCGTACTTAGATTACTGTAACTTACCGCACTTTTTCCTAGGCGTGTCGATATTGCTGAAGAGCATCTAGAATTGACCAAGATATTCCGTCGGACCTTGTCCAACGATGCTTCTAGTGAATTCTTACATTTATTTAATTGCTTAATTTCCTCATTAGTCTTATTGATGTTATCGTATAACGCTTGAATAGATGCTCTCGCATCTCGCATTAAGATATGAGCTGTATTATTATTTTGATGGATTAATTTTTGCATAGCTACTGGAAGGCTTAGCGATTTAGTTTTAGCATAAAACTTTTCGGTTTCTTGAATGACTGTTGATGCACCTTGCAACGTATTCCTAGGTTTATAGTAATTGCGTCCCTTATACTGTACTCTAGCATTAGCCATGATAGTGGTTAAAGAATGGATTGAGATTGGCAATATACTTTAAATCCAACTGGTGGTTTCAATGCTGCTGTAACCTATTGACTCGAATTAGTGCTAATAGCAATTTTCTTGATGATATTTTATCTTGCTCTATCGATAATTGGGTGATTGAAATCTTTCTTGTTCACCAATTTGATGTCACATGAGTAATCAATTTACACGCTGTCGAACCTTGTGCTAGCAATTAATGTCCTTATTCGGAATGAGGATATGTCATAAGTTCACTTTTATTACCGTTGAAATAAGTTAGTAGCCGATGTCGAATTGAGAGACAATTTTATGGCAACAACAACACGTCAAGTCTAGTCCAGTCTGCTTTATCACTATAGCAACAGCGTTTAGTGTTATTAGATATGTTATTCCAAATATTAACAAAAAAATAATTTATTCATGCGTATTATCATTATTATTATTATGCTGAACTAATAATTAATTAGCGGCCTTAAAAGTAGAGGTAATGATTTATATGTGCTGGCAAGATACATTCTGTATACTGTAGTATTGCAACATCCAGTTCAATCGCTATTAGTATATTATAATAAATAAATAAAGCGTAAAGTATGATTAGTCCTCAGCATCTATTGCATTGAAAACAGGCCGCATTTTAGTTAATTATTCATCAGAACTATTATTATGCTGAATTAAGAATGATTATAATTAATATCCGTCTCAAGAGTAGAGGTACTCATGCACTCATGCTATATAATATACTAACTATGATATAAAGGTGTTTAGTAGCTTCTCGCCTGCAGGCATTCTAAGGTGACAAAAAAGCACCACAAGCATAAGAGGAAATGGCGTCAAGTAATCTGCTAGCTATAAAATACTGTCTAAAATACAAGTTTAAAGTAAAGATACATTAGTCAGTATGCTGTAGCAAGAGGATACGAATGGAATGTAAAATAATTTGCACAGAATCGATGCACGAATAAAGTGTCTACTCTTGTGCATCTTATTTGGTCATACGGGTATAATCCATTATAGTAAAGCAACGCTAACAGTACTTAATTATGCGGTCTAAGTGGATATTCTAATCGCTCTATGTGACAATTGACTCGACATTTCATTCTGCATCGGGAGCAAAATTGATGACACCAACCATGATCTACTCATCTCTCGCCATGGAATACGCTAGACGTTTATACATTTGGAAGCATACAATATTATATAGTGCTAGCGAATGTACTGTACAGTGTACAGTAGCGTAAGTGGCTGGCCAACTACTGAAACCATAGATCAAAAGTCAGTCAAATTAAAGCCATACGATAAGACTCGAAAGATACCATATCCCTGTCGGAACCTTCCATCATTGCTACTCCAAGCTCTCAAAATGATAGCAAAATGAGTTTTATGATGCTCAAATTTTGTTGGATCAAGCCTATTTTAACGTTATAATGAAGTTACACTTATGATATAATCCTAGAATTGGTAGGTACAGCAGTATTGCAATATTGAAAGAGTTACAGCAATTATTATAGCCAAGTCATGGTGATGACTTAGTCCTTGATCGAGGATGCATTTAACGACAGAAGTAAAACTAAGCAACTTTCACTGTTGGATTAATTGACCTTGAGAAATCGTCAAAATCAAGCCAATTATTATATTATGGCTGATACAACAGGGAGAAGATCATCACAAGCTAATAGCTTAGAAGATTTATTTAATTTATTAAGCTCCAAGGACGCTGCTTGGAGCCAGCAAGCTAAAACAGTCATTATCGACGGATTGATTAATTCAGCTCGTGCCGGAGAGACCAGCAGCTGGTTACAAAATCATTTAATTGATTACTACATGAGAACAGGTTGTGAGAATGCAGCTGAGATATTAACTAAAATACAAGATTCTCAAGCTCGTGTGAGTCAATTTAATTGGTATAATACGGAGATAGATGTACATGATACAGTATGTTATTAATTTACTATGTTACATTTGTACGATCATTTCCTGAACGAGATATCAAATGATGATTGCTAAACCTAAGCCTAAAATTATTGCTCATACTACACAGTCTATTCTCCTTATACTCGTACTTGTACGTTTCAGCTTCACAGCTACGTCGATAGGGATAGAATTCCAATCTGTTGTAATCCATAAGTGTCTGTATACACTGTACGAATAATAGTAGAATGCCAATTTAACTGTAATTTTCTCTATAAATGTTATTCAAACTTATTTATGCACTAGATTCATTGCTAGCCAAAAAAAACAGTTCTATAATTGAGTCGATTTTCAAGCTTATCACTATGTGGAGCACTAGAACCCATAAAGATCTTTGCATATGATTTATAATGTATTCTGTATCCTGTTATACCACAATGTAAGATAAAAGATCTTTAATAGTCACCATTGGCTATAATGAGTATTACCTTGTATTTAAAAATTGAATGTAACATTAGTAACACAGCGATAATAGCCATTTTGTTCTTATAGATTAATTCTTTCTCAATTGTATTTATGTAGTTCTTATTCGATAAAATCAACGCCAGCCTATCCAATGGTAATACCTGCTTACAAGCCGTAAAACTACTTGGAAATATTGCTAGAAGTCAAGTATGTAGCTGCTATAAGTCTGAATACTTACTGTAGACGTAATGATAAAAATACCAAAGTGATTTCCATTAACTAAGTCATGTAATACGATCCTCACTAAATTCTCAGTGTATTACCCTTTCATAATTCACAATGGAGAATTAGGAGATAATGTCTTTCGAAAATTGTTGCAACTGCAGTGCAAATAGAATAAGCTAAACGTATCTCAGTATGATACAATTTATACTGTAATTATTACATACGCCAGCAAGATGATCAAAGAGTTTACTGAAACATATTTCATGCTTCCTATGTGTTACAAAAGTAATAAATTTTATTTATAAATATTAGCCATCCTGGTTGTATCGAATTGGAAATAATGCTGCGGTACCAACTCTTCTCAAGTGTCTTAAGGTGCAAAATAGCTTAAGAATTTTACTTGATAAATTATAATAAATATAACGCTAAGAAATCATTCTTGATTATTTGCCCATGTTAGAGTCAACAAGATGCTGAAGTCCTTATAGGTGGCATTCTAACCCTAACAATTTTATTGCCTTCAATGCCTACCTTAGTTAAACCTTACATGCCAGAAATGGTTGAGATTTATATAAGATTAGCCAGTTGGAGAATAAAGAAGCCAGGTAAATAATGTTTAATTTACAACGAAACAAATAGGACTGCTAGTAAAATGCAATACACTGTAAATAATATACAGCATATTGTTAGTGGACGCTAGTAAGCATAATAGCTTGAACACTATTATTTCTTAGTTTAGTGAAAGCCTTTACTTTGCAATTTATTCGTTTGAATTTAAACCATTTCATTGTTTGTAAATGTCTTTATGGACTGTGAAAATATTAGGTCACATCCCGGATCTATTCCTGCAGCATTTACTTATTGCAGCTAATGTTTTCTTCCAACGTTTATATGGCATGTTTCCATGTACATGTATGTCGCTATTAAAGGCTTTTTGTAAAAGTAAAGCCAACAGAGACATTTTCGACAAAGCACTTCAAGTGAGTTCTTTCCTGCTATTCCTTTTTCTTAAAAATTTAATAGTAACGACGTATTTACCATTGTAGCCATTATTAGGCCAATTACGATTCCATCCTATGCTGGTTACCTCTGATTGCGATGAAGAATCACAACCCGATAGGTATCCTATTTAGTTTTAAGTGCATGTGGTACTGCTAAGTATTTGTTTAGTTGTAACGGTAATTTTGACATCACGAGTTAATTACGGTATGACTTATTGATAAAGTTTTACTGCCACATTTTCACTCTCTACGTATAATATTTATACTTATTTTAGAAAATAGTAACTTATACTTATAATAAACTGTAGATGGAAAAAATTAGAGCCTTATGAAATTGTTGTTGAATGCTCAAAGTTTGCATCCGGCATTTATGATGATCGATACAACGAAAACTATAGGGAATCGGCATTTATTCCTCGTCGGTGTCCTCATACTTATCAGGTTGTCAGTGATGGATTACCAGATAGGGCGCCTAATAATACATGGAGACAGAACTCATCTACAACTGCTGAAATGAATGATATTAATAGAATTTCGAGATCAAACTCTAACAGTGCTTCTATCGTATCTAAGACCGACACAGAAACTGATAAACAACCTGAGATTGAGAAAGTTGATGCATCCTTGGAGCACGCTACAGTCGCTACTGTTACGACTAATAAATTAGATAAAATACCATTGGTAGCTTTTCGAGATTCCCATGAATTATGGAGTCCCTCATTGCTGCTCGATGTCGATTCTCCACCCACTTCTCCAGATCTTAATCGAAATAACCCTACTCGTATCTCAACTCCTGGAAAGTCGTCTGAGACGCATAATCGTTTGGTCGATTCACCTATTCATGCAGCGCCTCCAGATACGATCAATACCTCAAATTTTACAAATTCTATGACGAAATTTACGCATCAAACGAATATTAGCAAAGAAATCTTATCACCAACGAAGCAGAACGATTCGTTGGATCAGGAGAAATTTACCGACTTCAAATATTCGACACCAAAGAGAGTACTCGGTGATTCACAAGATGATATTGTAATTAATCAATCTGCTACTGATAACATTAAACAGACAGCTGATGATCAAGCCCTTATACATCGAAAGATATCAGAGGGAAAACTAAGAAAGAAAGTATCAACTGCAGCCGTTCCTGTCAGAAAAGTGAGCACTGTATTTAATAAGCGATATGTGCAATTTTTTAGAAAGTACATTTTTAATAGCTATGAACTCTCTTAATTATTATAGGAGTTAGGTTTGGCGTCTAATACTGAAGTACAAGATCCCGCGGATAATAAAGTGATTCCAAATAGAATATACTCTCTTACCAGCATGGACTTATTTACGTCAGATAATATAAATCAGGAAGATGCACATGGATTACCGGACATACATTCTTGGCCTCCCAATGCTTATTTATTAAATGACAGCAAATTAAAAGAAGTAGGAAATGAATGTAGTTTGCTGTAAAATCTCGCGTGACAATGGCTTATATTATGAATATTCCTATGATACTGTAGGATTCTACGGAAGATATACTTACGGATAATTTGCATCATTCCTTCAAGCCCAAAGAGAGTCCGTTTGAAAGCTCTCAAAGTAAAATTGAAGATGATACTGCAACTGATAATAAAGATTTTACTTCTAGCTCAGCAGTAAAGGAGAAAAACTTTACGAATACGGATAGCGAGTCTACTGCTGATTTAGGTACCAGTGTACAATAAATAGTGACATTTTTATCTTACTACGAAATTAGGATATGATGAATAGCTAATCAGTAGCGATTATAATGCTGTACTTACCATTCTATTTTATTTAGATAGCAAATTAGCACATCAGAATGCTTCGTTGAGTTCATATATTAATCTGATGGATGCTGCTTTACGATCACCAATAATGGGTGCTCCATTAAACCAACGAACAGCTAGCGTTGCTCCTGTCTTGAATGATTCTTTCCAAGACTTTAGTCCTAAAACATCGTCTGATTGTCATTCTTGGATTTATCCATCTTTTACTAGTTTTGAAGAATATCTAACTCTGGCAAGCGAAATTCACTCTGAAGAACTTAAAAGGTAAGTCTAATCAAATCAGTCATTACGTACTCGTGCTTAAATTTATTTTTAAAATTCTCTATTAATGGCAATCTATCACTTTTGAGACAGAATACCTCTAGTTGATCGCTTTGATACTACTTGGAATTATTTTGGTGGATCAGCTCCTGCCGATGAGGTAACAATATTCAAAGGCCAAACGCGTTTGCTTTTAAATCAGCTTTTGTTTGAGCGGTATCAAACGGAAATGTACGCACAACGTAATCGCCAGCTGGTGGGAAGAACTTATAGGCTAAATGCCCTTGAAGAGGAATGCTTAGCAATGGTTAGTTGTTTAATCTATTCGATCAATAAAACTCTTGGACGTGAACATTTTTTGTCTGTATTGTCGTAGAAAGATCAACTTCGTTTCCAAGAAGCCGAAATTCATCACTTAAAACTTTACTTAAAGTTACAAGAGGAAGAACAACGGTATAAATATTACTCAATCTTATTATGTTTACATGCTAAAAATACTTCTTTGTCAATATAATTTTGCAGGAGGGTTATAGAAAATAGAGAAACTTGGGAATCTGACATGAAATCCAGAGTACGGTACGTTCCGGATATTAGTTTTATATTTACGTCTGCACTAATATCTGTGTAATTTTTAGCCATTGCATAACTGTCGTTTTTAAATTAGAACTTTGAATAATGAAAAATTGCAATTACAACGAAGAATTGATCAGTTATCAGACAAGCTATCAGTAGTATTATCGCAATCTGATCGTATAAAACAGGTACGCATATTTCTAGCATGGCATACAACGCAATGACGTATTGCTTTTACCGTTAACATAGTGTTGTATATACGCAGGAGCTAAGTATGACCAAAGCAGAGTTATTTGATGCTACATCTAAATTGAAACGGCTAGATCAACTAGAAATCAAAAATAAGGCTGTGATTGAAATGGTATACAAAATTAGCTAGTTAAATCTTGCGATCAGTCTAATCTAACTTACGTTAATCTATCACTACAAAAACAGAATGATCGCTTAAAGAATGAATTAGTCCTTCTAGGCGAATATTGCAATCAGCAACTTGAGTCTAATGAAAATAGCTTAAGAGCCAGTTTATTAAAAGCAAAGCAGCAGGTGTTATCGTATGACTCGGAATTATCAGGTTAGTTGCGACATTGCAATATTTTGCCCTTGCAATCTACACTTGTATAATCAAATTGTTACCCTTGATGCTAGCGCGAAATGAGGCATTTCAAAAACAAGACATCCAGTTGGAATCGATGAAATGTCAAATCACAGATCTTGAAAATCGAATTAAATCAAAGGTAAAATGAAAGAGTTTATAACTTATCGAAATACAAAATTAAAATTAAATACCATTTTAATGTAACGTAGGAGTTAGCGTTAAAATTAGAAAAGGACATGTTGAAGGAGTCAAAAGATATTCATGCATCCGAGATTGAAGTAAGTCCAATATTTCGCAAGTCACAACAGTATAAATTGGCAATATACTAATTGATAAGGAATACCTCGCAATTTAGGTTATCGAGCGAAAATATAAGAGTTTACAAAGGATTTGTCGTAAATATGAATCATATATCCTAAAACTTCACTCACAGTTGGAAATAATACAGAAGGAAAGTGGATTAAAAATTTCAGCAGATTCGGATACACAACTAAGTGCTGATTCTTTACAAACTACGATTTATAAAGAAGCAGAGGCAATTTAATTAATTAACATTAATATTTTAAGTATTCGTAACCTAGAATAGTTCATCTGATATAGCTAACTCAACTATCCCATTAAAAATGATCCCATATAATAATATTAAATGAAAATATTCATGTACTAATTTAAAATTAAGCAAGTACAATTTGTTATACTGTATACAATATTAAAGTTAAAGAATAGCATTTATCAATTGATTGATAATCTTGGATAACTTTAAAAGTTAACAGAGCTAACGATGTCGCAATGTAATTGCTCAAATTTTGTAAATTTCATGTATTTGATATTGTTTCTCTAATTGATAATTGTGCTTTATTCAATTCCAAATTTGTTTCATTAAAACATCAAGGTAATATATATGCTATTGCAAGTTCATGAATTTTGAATCAATTAAATAGAATTTTATAAGGCTACAGCTCTGTATTTTTGAATGTTAAATTTAATTCAGCGATCAAATAGCAAATTTATTTTACAATCATATTCATGATATGCTCGATAATCGATTCGTCACTACACGGTAAGCAAATTTTAATTACATCCTTAAATTATTATACATTATGTGCGATAGAAGCTTTGAAGACTATGATCTTTGAGTTTATTTCAATTTCACTTATAAGTTCTGGTGAGTTACAAGAGCATCTACGAATATATTCTGGCCTCGCATAAATCGAGTAAGCACTTGAGTCGATCAATTTCCCGATTGCAATACCTGTAGAACTTTTTTCTAGCTATAACTAGTAAAATTTCGTAAAATCCATCAAAATCGAGTAATTTTCCATTGTTATGTACAGTATTAATGGCTTTACAAGAGTATCCATATCGATAGTTACGAGTCATGTTGATAAATAGTACATCTAAGTCGGCGATACATATTTCTTTGCTGGGTATTCGGCAAGCCCTGAAATAAACAGAGATTAAAGTACGTATTGCGAGTTAGTAATCTTCTAATTTTATCCGAAGTCACATCTTTGATTAGTTATAATTCAATAGCCTGGATAAAACATATGCATTGTAACGTATAGTTTGCAAGAATTCTAGTTAACCTTATGAATTGGCGAAAAAAGGACAAAGACATCGTTCTCGTATCATTGCGGCATGAAAATTTTTGATATATCTTGCAACACCTTTCAATAATTCTTAGCTCTGAATATTCTTCACTTAACTTTGGAAAAATATTACTAAATTGGATAGTTGTTTTTTCGATATTTTCTGTATTATGTGAAATTTTCACTTTACTACAATGAGTACAAAATATTTACATATTAAGTTCAATCCGAAGCAAGCCTGACTTAGATTTCGTTTCACATTAAATGTAAGTTAACCTGGACATTAATATTAGCAACTTAGTCGATAGGTGTAGTAACAAATTACCTTGCTTTGAATGATGGCTGGACCAATTTTAAAGTTTCGGCAATTAGTTGGCACTTTATATATTCATCAACTGGACTAATTACATTCGAAGATATTCCTCTCTTATTATACCGTTCGTGCTCTATATTTAAGCTTGGGTTCGCATTAACTTCAAGTAAATGTGGTTTTAAATCTTCGTCCAGTATTACATCAAAACCTAAGATCTAATATCGATGATTAGGCTATTAATGTAACTACAGGGTAATATTTCAATAAGAAATATGTAGAACAATATGTTGTATACATTTAAAGTTAAAGCTAAAACAAGGAAAAATTGATCTTCTAGTGCGTCGATAGCCTATTATTATTATTAATATGCCACTATTAAGTAAAAATTATACTGTGCTAACTGTATAACTACTAACAACAGCGTTATTTAATGAGAATAAGTCTAAATATTATCATAAAAGAAGTCGGTAAGGTAATTTAAATTCCAAATCATTATGTAATTAACTTAAACTAGCACAACTTTACTTACATGGAAACAGCTAAATTTGTTATCTGGTACTTTATGAATTGCATTCCAGCTATCAAATTCAATTTTTAAACTTGGTAACATTGCAATAATTGTTTTAGCGACTAATTGTTCGATAGCAAACCAAATAATATCAATAGAGTGACCCAAATTTTCCATATTTTTTAATACCGAAGATATGGTTCTTTTACTACCTTCGTGGGGATTATTCATCAATACAAATGATGGATTACTTTTATTTAATGAATAATTGGTCAAATGCATACAAGTTTGTCTAAGATTTTTTAAATTTGGTATTTGATACGGCACAGTACAGAATCTTGCTAGACCATCACGGAATATATAAGTTTCGAGTGGATTTAAATTAGTTAATACGGCATATAATCTTAAATCGAATTTAAAGCCATCAATTAAATACGGATTTGATATATACTTTTGTATAACAACTGCTTCAGTGATTTGAAAATATAACGCTTCCAGTTGCTTTAAACCTTGCAATAGAAATATACCACGACCTTCGGAACCTCCATCAGGTTTAACAATAAATGTAGTACTATTTAACTCCTTCGGGCTTAATTTCATTACTTCAGTCATCATTTCTTGTAATGCAATCCAAGTTCGAGGATAAAAGGAGAAATGCTTAGGAAATAGGGATCGTAGTCGATTTAGTAAATAAGCAAATTTTGCTTTACAAACTATTTCCTTCATTCCTATAAAGTAAGATTATAATTACGTTATAGATATTTCAAGCTGTAGCAGAAATACTGTTGATCTAAACACATTTTATTTTAGCATATTATTGGCTTTATAGAGTGTCATTTATTCTTAAGTCATTTAAGTCATTTATTCTTAAGTGTAATACCAAAAAAATGTAGCAATAATTCTATAAAAACTGGTCATACTACTGATGCAATATTACCTGGAAATTTATTGACTTTTCCTTGAATAAATCTTTCTCGACTGGTTAAAGATTTTTCATGCCAATAAATATCACAAGACTTTACGTACAGAATGTCCCAACGTTCCTAAATTATTTTTAAAATTATAGTTAAAGTCGGTTTCAAAATTTAGGTAGTATTGATTTGAGTACTTTAAAAGTGATAACAAATGAAATCGTATTACAATACTGGCATAGTGCAGGTATTTCATTGTCTGTAGTAATGTAAAGTACTATGTTGAAGTAGATGCATACTTTAGAACATCTTGTAGAATTGAGTAAAGAAACAACAGCATAAGCTAATAGAGTAATTTACAAATGATTCTATTTCTTAGACAGAAGTCAATAAATCAATACTAGACGGTAATTAAATATAGGCTATTAGCATTATTCAATCTTGGTTGAATGAATACTATTTGATGTTAAACTATTTTATAAGAGCGAAGTAAATAAATTAGTAGTAAGCTTATCCTGAATGTGTTTAATATACGTCAAGTAGAGCATGGATAAAAGAAATTCGCTAATCGGTAGAGCTGACGCTGGCTATTACTGTTGCTGCGATGACACTATGGCAGCATAGGTTTAATTCATCATGACATGGCGCTTCAATTTCAACTCTATGTAAACTGCATGGATAGAAACTGTTGGATGCAGTTACTCAGATTTGATTTCAATTATAATTTTTTTAATTAAAAATTTAGTAGAAGAATAATAATCTTAGTTGACATGCAATAGCTTTCATAAAAGTAATGCTATAAAATTTTGAATGTTATTGGCTAATCTTGTAGTATTATATGATATACTGTATGTAGACTGTAATTTCAGCGAATTACTGTTATGTTATGTACTGCAGATATTGATTTGAAATTATCTTTATTTTAGTCATGGAATGTAAAGAATGAAACTTTAACAAAGTTGGCAATTATACGCTCGTATACTACGATATTAGAACTTATATCAATATCAACAAAAACAGTTCGGTGGAGCGATATTTTGGAAAAAAATTCAAATACATTTAAGACAGTCTGCTTTCATTCTAAGATTGCAATGTATGCTGTACTATCATGAAAATATAAAATTATGAATCGTTTCCTTTAAATTAACCTCGTGCCATCCATTGCCCAAATATTTGAAGCAATTTGATAGCGCCTTGAAAGATGAATTTGCGTGAGATGTATTGATAGTGATCCTCGTCTGATCATTTTGTGACTGTTTGCCTTTAGTTTTAATTCTTCTATCGGTATTGACTGTTTTAGCCCTCTTTAAAAGTGGCCGAGATGATAGCATAGCCATTCCTTAACTAGGGTCCAATCGATTAATTATAATAATCAGCTAGTCTACGATATTCAAACAATATGATCATCACTAGCAAATGTTTCTCATTTTTGTTATTATGGATTTGGCTTATGTTTCGTTGTCTTGGTAATGTTACCGTTGACGAATTGAAGATCCTTTACGAAAATCAGATGTCACCCGTGATGGCTGTGTATACTGTACTATACAATACAGTACAGTACAGTATACTGTAAACTACAGTACTGTACACTTACAGTTACAGTACAAACTGGAAGAGAAGGGTGACATGACTTTGTACTTACAGCACACTATACGATGTGATGTTATGGATAGCGGATAAAGGTCATGTGATCGACCCTTCTGGAGAGCGGAAAAAGGTCATGTGATCGACCCTTTCTGGAGAGCGGATAAAGGTCATGTGATCTACCCTTCTATAGTAAATCCAGGATACTGCTTGTGTCAGGTAACGAGTATTAATTAGTGGCTGCATTTTGGAAGAGCGTGTTGTGATACGGAATCGTTTCAGTGTATTTTTAATAGTTCGTAATCCATGCGTTAGCTCTCGCACGCGTACCCGATTGTATCAGGAAGCGTGCGGATGGGACATCATACTGTTTCTCGATAGCAATCCCTATAACGTTTATTGCATTTATATTCCTAATAACTCGCCAAGTATTTTAAACATTTTTGAATTTAGAATACTAGATCAGTCTTTATTAAATGTGTTTCAATTTCTTTAACTATAATTAGACTATGTTAAACTTATCTGTAGGCAAAATTGAATGCGTCAACAGTTGTGAAATGTCTTTAGTATAGCATCGTAAACGCTTGGTAAATGTGCGTATGTAAACCTATAGAATCATAATACGAAATAAAAGCGTACTGTGCAGCGTTAGCAGCCTTTGCAAAGGGATCCGCCTATACGCCTAGAGAGCTTTTATCCGCTGTAGTCCGTAGATGTGCTTATTAAATTGTTTTATTCAATTTCTCAGCTATTTGGATGGCAAATTAGATAAAAATTAGAAATTATTGCTATATGCTTGGACAGTTCTTACATGGATAGATGTTGGTATAAATGACAGTATTGAACTTCACAGCGAGTCAATACAGTAGTCTAATCCAGTACGAGGTATTCCAATAGCAGGGGTTGAAGCTAGCAAATACTGATTATAATTATAATTCATAAATTTATTCTGTCATAGTATAAATTATACATTATCGTTCCGTTGACAGAAGTTAAAAACGCTCAAATTGATCTACAAAAGCCTATTACTTTAATAGGTTTACTCTCATAGAGGCTAGAACATGTTGAACGGTGCTCTACTATAGCTACACTGGCATATTCGAGTGAAATTGTTCAATATCGCCTAAAAATAGATAATATCCGTATGCTTTGAACAGTAATTTCCAGTAAATAAGTTCATCAAATAATGAATTCAAATCATAATGATAATTGTTGATTCTGGTCATCCAATAAAATCAACTATAGGATTAGGAGTTATAAATAACATTTGTACAAGTTGTCACGGTACCAACCACCGTCAAGACTAAATGACTAAATTTAGTGGTTAATATGCATATATGCAGATAACTAATAATGACTTACAGTAAGAATTACGGTAGTGATTATTTTGTTATATTAAATTATGCTGTACTGTAGGAAGAGTTCTTACAGTATACGATAACTAATGTTAATTGATTATAGTGTTTTGTCTTGTAAAGCTTGTGACGAATATCCAGTAGATATGCAATTATAGAAGATATTATAAATAATTCTGTGTACGGACATACTGTAATCTAATTATCTAGGATCATTCAGTACAAAGATTATGAATGATTTCTGCATTAATTTAGCTATCCGATATAAACTAAGTTTCATGAATTGTAATGAATTATACATGATAGCAAGCTGCATGATACCAGCTGCCGAAGGGTATTCAAGCTCGGCGGATAGTTAAATAAAAGAAGAGTTCTAGAATTGTTTAACGTAGAAGCAAAATCGTCTAAATTCTTGTGAGACAGCCAAGGGATACTGATCCCGAAGACTATAGTAATTTAGAGATTCGTTTTGCGTTATCTTTGTCGCAAAGCTGGTTTGTGGCACAAGTCTGGTCATTCTTTATAACGCTTCGTGCTTGTAGGATTGATTAAAATATGAAATATGTGTAACATACGCAAGGGCATAAAACCTGCAAAATAAGATTCGTCATCTCCTTTTAGTTTTAATCAATTGCTTTGAGGGTTAAGAAAAATTCACAAATACATTATGGATTCGAATCTTATTTGCACTAGCCGGGATAATATATCGTTTTCTAAATTGATGTCAATCTACCCACTCCTAGCAGAGTTTTCATCGCAGGCGATATAAAACCAAATCTCTACCTCATCTGCCAAGAATGGAAAAAAACTCTCTCTTCCACGAATAAATTCCATTATTTGTATCGCTATTTTAATTATAGTAAACTTATACATAAGTCGTAACTTTAATCTGGTGTGTCAAGAAATAACTAAATAATCCGATATTTTACAAAATCGCCAAGCTGGATTAGAAGCGATAGTGTCTATGAATGCATAGCAATACATGCTATGTAGATCTTGGATTAAGATTTAGTCCGTAGTTATTACTGTAGTCATTATTCATTAATACTATCCTTGTAAATCGAAACATATTTCTGAGCTCGAATTTTTTGTTTAGAATTCTCACATGCTATATTCCATCATGGTGACCTTAATTACCTTGATCATATCATTGTACGAGTATAGGAGTTGGTACTTTATTGACCTGGTTTTTGATCAATTTTAACCTACAGTTATTATTATTATAGATATCTCATCGACTCTATAGTTACTATGCCAAATCATTATATAGATATGTTAGATATAATCTTGCTCTTGAAGTATGCATTCAAAATGTAGCCTGCAAATAGCACCATCATCCGGAGTTATATCGTTAAAACTAATTGTATTGTAGTAGACATATGCGTTTAAATTTTCCAATAAAATTTGGATCTTCATTTAGCCTCGTAATCAATATTTAAATCGATGAAATAAATGTTTAATCGTAAGCACACAATATCGTTTACATAGCTTTCCTAATTTATTGAAGGGCACTAGGCAACGCCCAGTGCAATTTGATAAAAGCTTACGAAAACTTTTAACCTTTAGTCTAATAAACAAATGGCCATTTCATAAATAATTTAATAAACACACTGTCTTAGTAAAATTGATTACAGTGATATTAATACAACTACATCTTAAGGACGCTGACTCGTTCAGAACAAATAATGAAGGAAATTTATATTGCAATTTATTACAACTCTGTAACAACTCTCATATAATAGCTTTAAGTGATAAAACATTCACATGTGTGTAGGCTTACAAAGCCATCATAAGAGTTAGAGGGATTATTTTTACATGTTAAGTTTAATCCTTTTATAAATATGGAAATCGCCAAATTTCAAATTTATTCCATATTTTAATGCGAGCTAATTATTCTTGGCTTCAGACTTAATTATTATGGTACTTTGAGCACGGCAATGCATGTAAAGTTGTCGTCAACACCTTTATAAAACCGCTACGGAATTTCTTATTTGTTGTACCATATATGATGGGATTTAATGCCGAATTAGTGTACACTAGCCAGCGACTTAATAATGTTATGACATGTGATATACAATCAAAGGAGGTTAATCTCATTGCTTCCGCAACAAAAAACAATAGCCAACACGTAAAGAAAATACCAACAACAAAAAGGACAGTTCTAGTTAATTTGTTTTTAGCTCCAGTATTCCAGACTAAATAACAACAATTTTCATCGCAATGTACAACACGGGTATGACCTTTTGCAGTGGTAAATATTTTATAATAGGATAAACATATGATGATGGATGGAATATAATAGCACATAGTTACCACCATGGCTTCATAACGGATATCTTTGTTAAGCTTGCGAAAGAAGCAATGTCCGTAACTTGGTACAAAATCATAATATCCGAATCCTACTAGTGGTAAAATGGATAATATTGATGAAAAAATAACAAGGCAGCCAATAACAGCGAAAATAATGGATGGGGTTATTTTTCTCTCATATTTGAGAGGCAAGGAGACAGCGTAGCAGCGATCTATGCTAATAACTGCAACAAATAAAGCCGAATTAAAAGATAAGAACGTATTGGAAAATGCTGTAAATGTACAAAATGAAGATCCTAATGTCCATCTTGATTGTAATAATACAGTTAACCATAGTGGAAAGTTAAAGATCATAATTAAAAAGTCAATAATTGCCAGAGAGGCCATTAATATACTTGCGCCTTTATGCATTAAATTAATACGATAGATTACAACCACCACTAATGCATTTCCTAATGCACCAATAACACATATAACCGATGTTAATGACGTTAAAATAATTATTAAAGCTGGAGAAAGTGAATTACAGTCTTTTAAGATACACCAGCGACTGTAGTTAAGATCATTTGAAAGTTCATTACATCCTGAACTCGACATTGTTGTAAACAAAGTTAAGCCAAAAAATTTCGTTTCAGTAACTTGATTAATAGTGCTATCTCTTTAGAAAATGAAAATTGTAAATATAGATTAAATCCGTATGATTGTGGAATAAAACGGAAACTAGTAGCTTCTCCAAGCGGATATCTGGATCAATAAAAAGCAATACCAATATAATAAGCTTCATTGTTAGTCTAAATCGAATAATTGAAGGAATAATACCTAGGATTATTAGCATTTTTATAGTCTTCTAAAATGATAAGATGTTATCAAAAGCTCTCTTCTAACTATTAATAGATGGTAACTGGAGATTGCATTCTAGGATAAAAATTACTTTTAATATATCATAGAGCGTTATCTAATTAATGAAAGAAGATTTGGACAAACAAGTTTCCGATTGTAACATTGACTATAGCGAAAATATGTTCGATAAATCTAGTACTCACTTCTTAAAAGCCGTGTAATCTATGAGACTAAGAATTGGCTTCTTTGAGTTACCAAATTTTAAACTAATACTATAAATGGAGGATATAAGATTCATGCAATTGATCAAGAAATTACGATAGCTTGTTTAGAGTATTGACTTTGCTGTAGTAAACTATTACATTATCACATGCTTCATTTATTTTCTATTTGTGAAAGTTCTATAAATAATAGACTGAACAATTTAAGTCCTACAGCAGCAATTCGATACGATACTCAATATTTCAAGTTAACAAAATTTTTTTTCTACTAATTTTAAAATAAACATTTGCCTTACCACAACTGAATTTATTTCCTAGGATAGTATTGTAGATAAATTCTCCTCTCCTATTCAGGTTACTTAAATTGAGCCAATAATTAATAATTCAAGTTAACTTTTAAAAGATAAGAGTTGGTAGAAACCGCAGAACCGTTGTCCTAAATGTTTTGCTAATTAGAAAAGAAAATTATTAAAAATTTTCAGCAACATTTGCAATAAATAAGATCTGGTAAACAACTTTATTGCTAGAGCATGTGAATATCATATGGGAAATTTGCTTTCGAAATGAGTAATGCACTGTATCATAGCTTTTCAAAAATAAACTGCAGACAGCGATCAACAATCTGAAATAAATTTCTTTTTATTCTCTTCTCGTGGCTTAATTATCTTAATACAAACATTCTAAAGCCATTTAAGTATACATGCAAACTACTATGCTTGCATCCCAATTAATTTTAGCGTAATAGTTAGTAATTGAAATTGAATATAATTGTTGTTTTAGTCATAAAGTTGTCATAACCAATACAACTAGCAATAATTTCATCTTTACCGAACAGATGTGACTCATTAAAGTCCTATTCAACAATAACACAAGATAATGTTTGATTAAAAATTAAAAATTCAATGCTATTACCAATGGGGCAGCAAAGAAGGACGTGATCAAGGAATGGTGAGAATTTGTAAATTAAACAGCCTTCTGTTACTGCAACAACTTGTGATATATACCAATCACGAAATTCCAAATTTTAGAAAAATAAGGGCTTTATTGAATCTTATACAAAGATTAACTACACAGCTCTACTCTAGCCGAATACTACTTCTAAAGACTTCTAGAACGAACTAACAGAATAATCTAAAGTTCCATGCTTTTATACTTTTCGTAGCATTCGCAGCTACAATCCGCATAGCAACCTTTTACCTTATTTTAAACATAGTTAAATTATTCTTAGTAAGACTATTCTACTGCGGACCATCATTAATCCAATATGGATACGACTACAGTACTTACGTAGACATTATTCACACCAGCCAAAGTATAATGAATTAACCATATCCTAATATATGATTTACAGTTCTATTTCTACCTATAGCCATATTAGTAACTCAACAGCTTACTGTATATAGTCATCTGTACTCTAGCATAGAGTCTCTACCACTACAGTCTATAGGTACAGCTACCAAATATCTCTTAGGATAAATATCTACCGTACATTATACTACACATGGCTAACAGTCTACAATCACAATACTAAGTTACATTACACAACTACATTGCAGTGTTGTCTAAAATACTGAAAATATCCTAATAGTCAATTGTATATCAAAATTAATCTTATGGTCAACACAAACTAGAACTGGCTATTTTAAAAAAATTTGAAGTTTACTTTATTCTAAGCCTGAATTAATTTCTCGTATATGCGAAGATTACTAAAGTTCATTAGGCAATCGTAATCGGTTGCCTAAAGTAATAGAAAGTATTAAATATGATATCTTGATCATTCTGATAGAAGAAGGTAGATGCCGTTGGAGTTAAATAAATAATGTAACCTTATAACTAGGGAATTGTAAATCTAAACATTTTATACAGTGGTAAATTGTCACTTGTGCTTTCTTCACGAGTAGAGGCTTGTTAAAGTTTCTGGCTTATTTATAAGTTCAGAACCTTAGATACTAAGAAATATGTTTGCTTCCAAGAAACATGCAATCGTATTTTTTAATTAAACCCTGAAATCTCTAACGTATATTAAATCGAAATCATCGGCATAGAAAGGTATTGTAAGAAATCAAGAGCTGAATTTTCTTGGCTTTAAATTGATTGTTTCAAATTTCGCATTAATCAAAAGCACTGAAATACAAGCGTAACCTATAGGCTTTGCTTTTATATTTTATATTGTAACTTTCAATATTCTCAGTTTGCATGCAAATTGAAGGCATTAAGATAGAAACTTGCCTAAAGAACGAATACTAGTATTTTTTGACTTTAAATATCAATATTTCTAGTTATATAACAAAAATGATGTTGAGTTAAAAGCTTGTAGTAGAAATGAATAGTTTCATTGTTGATTTAGTTTCAGTATTTCTATTTTACAAATAAATCCAAAGAATTTAGTTAGAGAACTTATTCCAAACAAAACAATAGTCTAATACTAACTTAGTTTTCAATATTTCTAGTCTGTATCGAAATCTAAGACTAAAATAAAGCATAGTAAGAGAATTGACAGTGATATATTCAACTTCCAAAAGCTGAGAATAAAAAGTAGTGATTACTTAACAATAAATACACGTAATTTTGACCTCAGCAATGAATAACTGAGAAAGAAAGACCATTAATGAGAAAGAGGGAATAAAGCTTTAAAATGCAGTCGCAGTACTTTGTATAATGGATAAAAATTTTTTGATATTTCTATTTTAAGATGAAAATATTGGATGAAGAAGTTTAATTCACTTATAGGTTGCAGTTACCTGATACGCCTTCGTAGTTGAAATAGAATAGATTTAAATGATCTTATTAATCGAATTCTAGTCTATTGACCAGCCAAAATTGGATAAGCTTTGAGTTCTAAAATTTTCAAAATACTGTTATTAAACCTTAGAATGATAACAAACAATCAATTACCCCAAAGATTCAAGTTAACAAGATGAAAATTGTGTCAACAATCTTTTAGTAATATGAAATGAATAAATTGCAAGCATTATTGATAGTATTTAATAACTACCAGCTAGAATTCAAGATTGACGTATGGATAGACGATTATTGAATAAAATTTTAATCAAATAATTAAAAAAATCAAGACTAGCAGTAAACTAACTGATGTTAATTCAGTTTTCTTATATTGTCATCGATTGAATTCTTGTTGTCATTAAAAAGAATAATACCGTAGCATTAATCAATTAAACCCCTAAGATTCAATTAATTACTGTTTATAGAAAATGGATGAATACTCGATTTGTTATTCTGTTGCTAATAAACAGTGAATTATACAATACGTATGGTATTGTTATAAATGACTGATTTTGTTTAAGTTATGAGCCAAGTTAAAAAATTCGGTTTTGTTATTGAATATTGGGAAATAATTTTCACGCATTGAGTAGTACAACAGTGAGAAAATTATGAATCCCTTGCATAGGCAGGATAATTTATGAAATAGACGTATCAATGCTCAGATTGACATAAAATGATATTGAATATGAAAATGGTATTAATAGGTAAATAAATTATGAGGGCAAATTCCACCTTGTTATAAAATCTCTTTCCTATGACATAATATCGAATTAAAAGACATGACGCTAATTGCGCACCCAATTTGCCACTATTTAGGCTTACAATAGCAGCATAAACAAATATGTATTAGTCTTGAATACAGGGTGAAAAATCTATATTAAAATTTGTGATCGTTTACTAATAAATAATGAATAAAATAAACGTATAGATGATAATGGTATTCTGGAGACTTACTGGAATGATATGTAACATGAAGAGTTTACAATGGTAAATATAAAATTTCAACTGTTAAACTTTTCAGTCTTTCTTCTAATTCTAGACGTAATAAATAAATAGCGATGCAGCAGTAAATCATTATCGAAGCTGTAGCTACTTTATAGAATATCTTATGATTATACAACAGACATTCGTTATTAATTGTAGAAGAACATTGAGAATCGAACACCCAACTTTTGGCAATTGGGTTAATAGAATCAGTAATACATGAAGTATACAAATGATTTAGAAATGGACTAACTAGATTGATGCACATCACCTAGTATTAATAATTGCAGTCATTAAGCGTTTAAATACCCTGCATAAAACTCCATACCAAAATATCTTGTTATCCTAGTACATAGCCATGATGGGGATATAATGCTACGTCTGTATCTATTTTGAAACAATTTACGAGATGTTATGACAGGAAAAAATATACACAGATTGGCATAGCAGAAATGTGAGGAAAATTAAACTAGCGGTGGGTAAGTAAAGAATGCTTTAAGTAAATATAGGGTGGGATGTTATTGAATGAAAACAGCAATTAAAGCTGAAAAATCATGGATTAACTTAGGCTTGATGCTTTATCATAGCATAATAAAACGAAAATCGAACTCAAATCTCCTTGTCGATTTGTAATAATTTGAAACTATCGTGACTGTAAATACGGGAAATGTTGAATCTTGATAA